GAGAGAGAGAGAGAGAGAGAGAGAGAGAGAGAGAGAGAGAGAGAGAGAGAGGGACGTTGTTTGTTACTGTTTCATGGGAGTTAGGGTAGTGACGATGAGGGTGGATCCCTACCGTTCATTTGTCGAGATGACTGAGGGGCTGACCTAGTGGATCGCTTGCTGGTGATTGAAAGGGTTGATGATCGGTTCCAGTTTCGGGTATGGCGTAGCTCTTGAGAGTTTACTCGGCAACTTGGGGCATTTTCACACTTGGCATTTTTATTTTTAGGACGCACCTGACTGGTATGATGGGAATATGCAAGTCTTATCATCTTATGTAGTCCCAGTGTGACGGAACATGCACAGTGTATTCGAGTGTTTTCGGAGTTTATGCTTAGTCACGGTTATGGGCTTTGGACTATTGGTGCGCACCAAGTGAACTGTCCTGTCTGTGGCTAAGCCGGGGTGTCTCTCTGCCATAAGAATTTCACAAACGATACCCTAAAAACCCTCCAGCCTTCCCCAGCGCGATAGAAGGGAAGGGTGGTGGTGGATTTACCCGACCCGGGGGATCCAGGCACGAGACAGGCTCGAGCCAGGCAACAACTTACATCTAAAAAAAAAAATTAATAATAATAAATCAAAAAAAAGACATCTATGAAATGTTTAAGCGGGGCAAGCTGACGTTCTTTTTGACAGAGCGTGATTTCAAACCCCTAATTTAGGGCTACCGTCTTTCCCCGAACACAACGCACCCTCATCTTGGCTGTATCGGGCCGGAAACATGCCTTGCATACGTTCATTTTCAGGGTGCGCTATGTTCGGGGGAAGACGGTAGCATCCTCTCCCGAATACGAGAACCCATCCGAGCCCAGGCAGACGACAGTGCTGGCGTATTAGTTTCCGTTACAAAAAAAAAAAAAAAAAAAAAAATCCGTTATTACGCGCACGTGTCTTCTTTCGGGAGAAGGTGTCGCGCAAGACAAGACGACGAGGTGCTGGTCTTTCCCTTTCCCCATCTTCCTTCTTCTTAACCGCAGAAAAGCTGGTCGAAGCTATATAGCCGTCAGCAGCATGCGTGTTGATAACCAGTGCTATAGGCTTCTCACCCTCCCTCCTCTCTCTCTCTCTCTCTCTCTCTCTCTCTCTCGCACGCGCGCTCGCTCGCTCGCTCTCTGGCTGTGCCACCGTGTGACTCTGTTCAGCCATAGCCAGATGAATTGGACGCTTGTCTATCCTTGTCTGCTGTTGCTGGAATTGTTCCAAATTTTCCATCGGTCCGTTGTCTTTGTTGCTTGCTCATTGAGCTGACAAGGGTCTCCACAGGTTGGTTGGTTATACCGAGAACGGGCACCCGGTTGAGCTGTACTACTGTAATGATAGCCCCCCACTGGCGAATTTTCTGTGCTGTACCTGGAAGGATCAAATTGGATCTCTGTCTTTTCGACTTTTGCATTGGAAAATTGGAAGCTTCGGGAGAGTGTAACATTGGATGATAGGCAGAGAGAGGTGTACGTATTTAGACGAATTAGTAGTAAAGATGCATGGGGCAGGAATGCCCACACAAAGTTATGGGTCAGGATCCGTTGGCCCCCTCGTGGCGTTTGCTGTTTCTGGAGTTGTGCAATGAGAGAGAGTGGAAGCGTTCTGGGCCCAGGGGGTAGGTACAATGAGAGAGAGGGGAAGCGTTCTGGCCCGGGGGGGAATTGCATTTCATATTTCATGTTGACATATACATTTGACTAAGTCCATCCAGTGACTGTGGTGTGAGTGTGAGGTAGTAGTCTCCCCTTTTTGCCTGTAGCAGAGAGTGTGGCCTCAGCTCTCATGCACCAGTTTTGCACCTGAAAGGACACGAGGAGAAGACTCATCCGGTAGAGGATTGAACGTGCTTATACTCTTTTTTTTTTTTTTTTTTTTTCCAGTTAAACTTCCATGGTGGCAGCACTGAGGGAGGTGATAAGAGCATCCTCCCAAGGGGGTCCCCAGTTGAAGGCTCCATCTGTTGGTGTGGAGCTGCACCTGGTCCGGAAACTGGGTTCCAGCGTGAACTTGCTTATACTCACAGTAGGACTTCCCGGGGGGGGGGAAACAAAAAACCAAAAAAAAAAAAAGGACTTGCCGGGATTTTCCAGATGCAATGATTGGCCGCTGTTGAAAATGTCCCTATCGTGAGTGCGGCCGTAGTTGCTTGTTTCCACATCAGGAAGTCTTGTTAGTTGGGTCGTGGAACCGAAAAGAAGCCAGTTATATAAGTGAAATGGAGTCCCCAGCTCCGCTTGGGCCCATGGGACTAGGGCCATTTCAGCATGATGACAGCAGCGATGGGACGAGGAATTGGGTCCCACTGGTGCTGTTTGAAAGTGCGAAGTACGTGTGATGGACAGTACGCATAATGTTCACGAGGTCCCTGTCACAACCTGCTTTTCTACTCCGTCCTCCCCATGTAGCTAGTAGCAGCACAAGAAGGAAAAGCCAGGGCAACTACCGTCGTCCCCTGAACATAACGCACCCTCGTTATGTATGTATACAAACTAGAACATAACGCACCCTCATTATGTATGTATACAAGCTAGCTTTCCGGTCCAGTACAGACAAGATGGGGGCCGTTATGTTCGGGGAAGACGGCCATTATGTTCAGGGGAAGATGGCCGTTATGTTGGGGAAAGTAGTGGCAGGGAGAGAGAGAGAGCGGCAGGGAGAGAGAGAGAGCTCTCCGATGTGCTGCAGGGAGAAAAGAAAAGTGAGAGGGAGAAGAAACAAGAAGAAAGAAAGAGAAAAAGGGTAAAGAAAAGAAAACGGTATCCACCAAGCGTGGACCCCTATCGTCCTGAAATTCCTCTCTTTTCCCAGTGACCAACTCTGTAAGGGGTGAAAGTCATCGATCTGAGCACAACCCGAACGTATAGTTCGAGCCAAACGGAGCCCCAATGCACGCGTAGTTCTAACTTCGAACCAAACAGAGCCCCAATGCATAATTTGGATCGAACAGAACCCTGGTGCATGCATAGTTTGAGCCAAACGGAGCCCCAATGCATAATTCGGGCTGCACAGAACCTTGATGCATGCATAGTTCGAGAGCCGTAATGTGTTGTTCGAACCGAACAGAACCTTGTTGCATGCATAGTTGGAACCAGACAGAGCCCCAATGCATAATTTGGACCGGACAGAACATAGTTCGAACCAAACGGAGCCCCGATGCATAATTTGCATCGAACAGAACCCCGATCCACGCGTAGTTCGAACTGAACAGAGCTGGAATGCGTAGTTCGAACCGAACAGAACCCGATCGGGGCATAATTTTCATCGAACAGAACCCCGATCCACGCGTAGTTCGAACTGAACAGAGCTGGAATGCATAGTTCGAACCGAACAGAACCCGAATGCATACGAATTCCCAGCGACTGAACAGAACGGGACTGTTTGTGTGTGATTACGAAAGTGAGCTGGAATGCGTAGTTCGAACCGAACAGAACCCGAATGCATACTAGTTCGAGAGCCGGAACGCATAGCGTGAACTGAGCAGAACCCGAATACATGGTTCTACACTGGCACTTATGACTCCACTACCAGTCTGCATGGTTGTGCTTTTTTTTTGCTTTTTTTTTGGTTGTACTAGGTGGTGATGATGTTTAGGGCTCACCTCAGTGTCAGTGCTGTCGTTGCATAGATTTCGTTCTGAGAGAGCGGATGTAGCTCGTTTAGCGCTTACCTCAGCGTCAGTGTCTTGGTGGCTGTGGACTTGGTAGCTGTCCTCGCGATGGCGTTTGGTCGTTTAGTGTGAGTGAATTCGGGGGCAAGGTCCCACTTGCACAAATTAGGAGATTTGGGCCGTTGATCTTTGCTATCTTTCGGGGGCAAGGTCCCACTTGCGCAAATTAGGAGATTTGGGCTGTTGATCTTTGCTATCTACGGTCAGTATCTCTTAATTTGTGCAAGTGGGACCTAGCCCCGGGAAAGTGGCGGTCGGAGGGCGCTTCATATCCTTTTTTGCTTTCAAGTTCTTTGTGGGATAACTTGGGGAAAGTGCAGTGTCAGTTTTGGCCTTTCAGAAAAGTCGGTGTGTTTCAGAAAATGTGAGGCTGAAAACTGAAATGGCAGAAATGTTTTTTTTTTTTTTTTTTTTTTTTTTTTTTAAAGGCTCTTGTGCAAGACCTCTATCCTGGTGGTGGTAAGAGAACCACCGGGATTAAATGGCAGAAATGTTCAGATGTAGCATCGGGGAATTTTAGAGGCATTGGAACCTGCCTCCAGAAGAAGAGAGGGGCAGAAAATGTGTGTGTGTGTGTGGGGGGGGGGGTCATAGTCCCTCTCCATTTCTCTTTGTGGGGGATCCGGTGTTCCTCGTTCACGGCCCCACTCTACCCCACCCCTGCCCATTTTCTTCCTCTTCTTCTTTTGGTACAACTACTTGGGGCGGGCTTTTTCTGGATGAGTCGGACCAAGCATTCCCTACCGCTATATTCAGCTCCACTGAATCTAGCAGAGTCTTCTGGCCAGATTCGTTTGGAAACAGCACTCGCTAATGGCAGAGCCCCTGTTTGGGGAAAGAAAGAAGGAAAGGGTATGGGACCGAACATAACGCACCCTCTGTTTTTTTTTTTCCAGTTTATCTGCTTCCATTGAGCTCCCTCTTGGGACGCTCACGCCTGCTTTGGTGCATTTTTTTGCACCTTGTTTCTCCTCACTACATCATCCCTCGAACAGAACGCACCCTGATAACGAATGTATACAAGCTATGTTTCCCGTCTGCTGATGACGAATGCATACAAGCTATGTTTCTGCTGATGACGAATGCATACAAGCTATGTTTCTGCTGATGACGAATGCATACAAGCCTGTCTCTTATACACAGGGAGGTTGTAATTACGACAGTGTTGATCAGGAGGATCAGGTAATGAGGCCCTGCTGCCGAGACGTGGGGAGAGGGGAAGGTGAACAGGGGGCAGTAGGTGAGAGGAGCAAGTGTCAAGGAGAGTTGGTGTGTACTCCACCGGCATCCGATGATGTGTCGGAGATCTGCCACGTGTCATTTTCCGTCCTGGGGGATCGGCTTTCTGCCAACGACGGGCGCGGTACTGGGGAGGGCGGCGATGGAGGCACAGGAGGCACAGGAGGCGACGGTGGCCGTGAGAGGACAGAGGACGGATCATCAGGATACGCGGGCGAGGATGGAGAAGGACATCTGATCGGATGTGAAGTAGGGAGAATACCATCTAGCCGTGGCAAGGACGAGCACGAGCATGATGACCAGAGAGAGGAGGAAGCGGGGTCCCGTGGTTCTCATGGCAGCACGGATGGCAGAGCCGAGGACGATGACGACGACGGCGATGGCGAGGAGCATGGGCAACACGAAGAGGAAGGAGAAGATGGAGGCGATCGAAGAAGAAAGCAGAGATGCAGAAGGAAGAGGAAGAAGATGAGAAGGATTTGCGAGACCCGTGAGGAGGAGGAGGTGTGTTACAGCGATAGCCCTGCCAAAACCAACGGCAGCAGTGGAAGTGGAGTATTGGGGAGGGAGGGGGGGATTTCCAGCTGTCCTGAAGAGGTTTGTTGCAGCGACAGCCCTTGCAAAAGCAACAGCAGTGGCGATGGCTTGGCCGCGGTGAAGATGAAGCAGAGGGAGGTTCCTTTCGGCGATGGGTTTCTGCTGATCGCCCACGGAAAGAGATGCACGAGGAAGAGGGTAGATAGACTGACTCAGCTTCCTTGGGATGTCATGGAGAAGATTCTCGCTCAAGTCTGTGCCAGCAATGGCGTCGTGGCCTGTCGCTTGGCCGTGGTGTGCAGAGCGTGGCGTAGTCTACCCCTTCACAGTTTGATGTGGCAGAAAGCCGATTTGACAAGAACCACGTGTACGGACACGGTAATTGCCGAATTAACCTCGAGCGGAGCGTGGGCAAATCTTAAGTACCTAAAGCTGAAAGCCTCGACCATATCAGAAGCCGCGCTAGCAGATCTCAGCCGCTCCTGCGCAGATCTAGAGTCCATTGATCTGTCGGACTGTTCTCGAATCACCGCACTGGGACTGGTAGACCTCTGTGCGGCATGCAAGAAGTTGAAATGCCTGCGATTATCTCGTCTTGGTGCGGCCGCTTCCGACGCAACCTTAAGGGCAATCTTGTCGATGAACTGTAGTCTAGAGGAGCTGAGACTGAAGGGGTGCCAGGACATAGGTACGGGGTTATTTCGTGCGTTGTCGGCGGGGCGAGCACCCCAACTCAGGGTGTTAGATCTGACGGGAGCGGGGCGACGATACATATCGGTGCCGCTGGAAGTGTTGCAGCGAGGATGTCCGTTGATCGAGATCCTACGGCTCTCTGGCCTCGGGTTCATGTATGGCTGGCACGTCACTGGGCCTAGCGTTAAATTGCATTCGCTGTATAAACAGAAGCTGGCGGCTGTGAGAGACAGAGGATGGAGAGCTGGTGTGGGTATGGAGGTAGACGCAGATCTTCAGTGGGCAATAGGAGGAGCAGGAGGTCTAGAAAGAGGAGGAGGAGGAGGAGGGGGCGGGTTCCCGTTCCTCAAGGAACTTGGTGTGTCTGCAACAACGGGATTTTGGGAAAGTCCGATGGACGACATGATTCTGTGGAGGATTCTGTGGAGGTCTTTCGATCTAGAGTGCCTCGACATTTTAGGGTGTGTTAGGGTTACAGCGATGGGGTTGGCGCTTCTTCCAGCTACCTCTCTTTGTCGCCTGTGGATGGGATGGAGTGGCGCGGCCACGCACACTGGTATCGCGGTGGCGGCGGAGAGGTGGGGTGGTACGCTCACCGAGATGCACGTGGCAGGCAGCAGAGCCGTTGGATCCGAGACAGCCAAGGTGTTGGCAGAGCAGTGCTCCGTCTTGGAAGCTGCCAATCTATCGGGAACTGGATTAATGGAGGAGGATGTGATGATGATTATACGTGGCAAGTCGAGGGGTACTCTCAAGGTGCTGGACACGGGAGGCTGCAGGGCCCTACCCCGAGAACTACGCCTCGGGGGAGATGGTTGCCTGAGAGCGTTCAAGGAGAAGGGCAATCGCCCGACACCTGACCGAGGGGTGGGGGGAGTTAACGAGGGGTGTAGGGGAGTAGAGTGTGCGGGGGA